AAAGCTTAACTTAACCCTGGATCCATAAAGGACATTGTATCATTGTTTTTAACAGGTTTAGTCGTTGTTGTTGTTGTTATGATGAATTGGGTGAATATGAGTACACAACAACAACAACAAAGCCTCTTTGTGCCTTTGTGCTTTTATGTCATTTCATATTAAGTCCAACTCTATCTAATAAATATCTTGAAGTGTTTTTTAAAAAAAAAAAGTGTGACTCTCGTGTCTGAAGTGACAAATTTTACCGGTAGAAGTGGTTCTAAACTTAAAAGAGGAGTCTAGTGTGAAGTGATGGCTTTTGCTACAGCTCCTCTACCAGAGCTGGCAGAAAGGGACACCACAGGGGTACGTTAAAACCGGTTCAGCTCAAGGCCTTCCAACAAAGATGTCGCCATGTTTTCCTGTCTTCAAAAATGTCACCAGCGCGTCTTGGGACTCATTGATATGTTATAACCTTCATTACCGTCGTCTCCAGGGTGCGGCTGGCTGCCTGTGGCGTCCTGGGCATTGTTATGTGTAAATGCCGCATGAATACATTTTCAAAGTAAAAGCGATGAGCTACCTGTTCCCAATCACACACTCTGAGTAATGGCTCTCGTTGACATGTTGTACGGTTCCCTGTAGGCTTTGTGCAACACGTCCATTAACATTCTGCCGTTCTGAGCAGTTTGGGAACGTCTCAGCGAAGTGTTGCAGCACTTTGGCCAAAAGTACGAGAGAAGAATGATCCTCATTACTGGTTAAAAAATACTCTGTAAGCACTCAGTAACCCGTCGCCCACTCTGGACTATTTCCAGGTGATGCAGAGTGAGCGTTTGAGTGACAGCCTTTAATTAGAGCTACTCAACCAGTGCTTATTCCTGCGTGGCTTTGTGAGCGCCGAGTGTCACTGCTTGTCTCGAGAAGCTCAACCGCTGGTCGTCTAAAGAGGACCTGCAGGAGCAGATGATCGGTCCCGACGATCCGCAGAAAAACGCCAGCGCTGCAGAAATACCACGTCCTAATGGGATAAATGCTCTAATTAGCTGCTGGAGAGCAGGTAGCGGCAACACTGGACACGAGCAGAAACAAATGGTTTGGAAGAAGCCCCGAGACAAGCGGCGGCTGCTGTGTGCACTCAGCTGAAATAAATGAGCTCCTGAGGAGACCAAACAGCGGCTGCAGGGAAGGTTTGTCTGCAGCAATTAGCTCGGCCCACCTTCAATGAAGACGTTCAGCCAGAAAATACTCAGCGCTTTGTGGGGCCTCCTGCAGGTGATGCAAACTCTCGCGATTTATCAGGAGAAGCTAAAAAGTTACACGTGGTTTGATTAATCAGAAGAGCAGGTGAGCTGGTGTGCTCGAGCTGCAGCAAGCTAGAGATGCATGGAGAGATTTGAGAAGAATCAACAGTGTGGAGTTACATCAACGCTGTTATAAAGGCAGGATGGAATGATTTTCATGACAAAAAATTATTTTTTTAGAGTTAAATTTACCAACCAGATGATTTAATTGTGCTGACTTCACATTAAAAAGGCTGCAGATTTACCCAAGATGCATTTATGTCTGATTTGACACCTGCTGGCTGTCACGTGATTTGACTAAAAGTGTTGGTATTGTCCTTTAAAGAGAGAAAACACGCTCCTTTCTTCTAATGAAACCAGGTGAGCACCAACCTGTCTGACTGCTCCACAGTCAAGGCAGCCTCAACACCGGCTAGAAAAGCTCTGCTGGTGGACGACTACAAAATAAAAACCTCCGTCTCCAACTCTTTTAACGCATTCAGCACGTTCACTGCTCACTGCTGAGGCCTCCAGCTGCCTGGTTTCACTTTAAACGATTCTTTTTTTCTCCGTTTCTCGTCCTGTAGATCTAAATAGTTTAAATTATGTTTATTATTTATTAAAACGGTTTGAATTTGAAGCCAGAATCCCAGCTTTTGTGACGAGGTTTCAGCTCAGTGTCTCTGACTTGACGCGCCTCTGGAACGGCAGATGCGGCGGCTGCGGTGCGCGCGCATAACGTCAGCGGCGGAGACGTGCGTGAAGCTGGCGAGACTAAGGAGCACCGTACCGGATGTTGGGCTGCTTTAGCTACAAAATAAAACAAACTGTGACATTGTTGTCGTCTGTGCAAATGGTAAATAGAGTTTATATTTGCTTCATTATGCAGTAAACACGTGGAATTGAGTTAATAGCCCACATGTGCATTTGCAAATTAAATGTAAGCATCATTTTTTTCTTCTTTTTTTATGTTCTAACATTTTTTAAATGACAATTAAATTATAGATGAAACTTTAAACAAATGAAGAAGTTGGGATGGTGGATGAGGGAGAAGATCTGAGCTCATAGAAAGTTTAAAGGAGAAGAAATGCATCATATTTCTTTTCTGTTCTGTTTTTAACCCTGAATTTAATATTGACTGCATTCATTCCTGCATCATTAGAAGCTGCACAGTTTGCTTTAACACTTCCTTTACTTGTTATTTACACACATCTGTAGTTAAACACTCATTTAACTCCTTTAACCTATTGCTCTTGTTTAAATGCACGTTTGTTTTGTTGTGCAAAGAAAAAAAAAGTGTCAGATTCGTTCATATATTTGGTTTGCATTTAATCTTTCTAAGTTGCATGTAGCTAGTTGTGCTATTTTTAGGCTTTTTGTTCATTTTCTATTTGACCACAGGTAGAAAAACGGTCATATCTCACTGGTGCAACAGCAACACAGCAAAACTTACATATTACCAATATTTTGTGTATTTATGAAACTCTGTATGATATGATTTATATCTACAGAATCTGTGCCATAACAGTGTGTTTTACTCATGGATTAATTTGTGCAATATCTATGTTCTCCTATGTAGGAAGGAGTCAGAGCATTATTTATTTTGTTTACTTACATTCCTGTATGTTTGCTCTGCTGAGGGGTTCATTTAATTATCTAATTCTATTCTTTAAGTAATTTTGTTTTGGAAAACCCACATCATTTGGTTGAACTGGGTCTCCATGATAGGGACTTTCCATAAAGATCTAAATCACAGGACAAATAAAACAGGTATGTGTGCCCCACGAAGCTGGAGTCAGGTTGAGACTTTTATTTTGAAAGCTGCTACCGGCGCCGCTGCTGCTCGTCGCCGCTGACTTGACGCGGCTTCCAGCAAACACACACCGTCTCTTGGCGAACATGGCGGCAACTTGACAACGGCAGCGAGATGAAGACGGTGAGGGCTTGAAAAAGACGAGAGGTCTGTTTCCAGGCTGTAGGCCCCAACCGCCGACACAAAGGCACACAGCTTCGCCATGTTGGAAGAGGATAGCGCCCTTGTCCCTGCACGACCGAGGCCGGGGAAAACGTAAACGCGTCGGTGAGTGTTTCTAAAAACGGAGTCGAGGCTACGCAGAGGAGCGGAGCGGCGCGGCGCGGAGCTCAGGGCGGACGGGAGGACAGCGGCTTCGCCGGTCAGCCATGGAGGATGCGGCCCGCGGTCGCCTGCGTCTGATTTGCCAGCCGGCCCCTTTTAATGGGAATTAGCGCCGATAGCAGCGAGCAGCCGGGACGAGCCACCAGCCGACACCTGAGGGGAGGAGAGCGCGAAGCGGACCCGACGTCAATGACTGTTGCGGCAGAGGAGCCCCCACGGTGGAGTCGGCCGGTTCCCAAAATATGACCAGGGGTGCTGGGACGTGTTGGCAGCAAGAAGATGACGACGGCTTCCAAATCTGGCTAGAGCCCCCCCGAGACAACCAAAAGCCATTCACCGACTCCGAGAGGGCGCAGAGATGGCGACTGTCCTTGGCATCCCTCTTGTTCTTAACCATCCTCCTCTCTGATCACCTGTGGTTCTGCGCCGAGGCCAAACTGGCCCGGACCCGGGACAAGTTCGCCTCCTCCCACCTCCTCTCCCCCCAGACCCACTCAGCACACAGCAGCCTCAGAGGAAACCCAGATGCTATTTTTATAGGAAACTCTACCAAACATTTGTGGCGCCTCGAAACTTGCCACCAGGACAGTTTGTCTAAAGACTGCTTCACGCTGGCGGACGCGGACCATCTGTGCGGGGGCCTTTCCGAGCGCGAGGGGACGCGGGCTGTAAATATGAGCGATTTGTACCTTTCCTTTTGTAACTCCTACTCTCTGCTGGATTTGTTCTACGGGTCGACGAGTCCGGACAATTTGAACTGCAGCCTGGACGTGCTCGGAGATGGCGACACGAGCAGATGCATCCTGTGCGTCCAGGCGTACCAGCGCTACGACCAGCACGCCCAGGAGAAGTACGAGGACTTCGAGCTCCTGACTCAGAAATACGAGCCGGGGGGCTACTCGGTGAGGACGTGCATGGAGCAGTGCAAGGTAGGACGACATGCTTTTAAAATAAGTCAATGAGAGGGGGGTGATGTGGTGGCCATCTGTTGATTTGGGCCCCGGATAGATGCCAGTTCGGTCCTCCTCCTCCTCCTCCTCCTCCTCCTCCTCCTGTCGCCATGGAGACGGATGACAGATTCAAGGAGACTCCGGGCCTCATGTTCATTCATCTCCTCATCGTGCTGAGGCCTAATGTGCAGATGTTTTTATGTTCTGATCGTCTCATCCCCTCCAATCCGCCTCAGAGTTCTGATCGGGTTCGAATCCAGCAGAACTCGTGGAGGCTGCGCGCTGTCGCAGTCCGCCAGGTGTTCATCATGGCCGCCCCACTCCACATCGAGAGCGTTTCATCAAAGTCAAGAGGTGGTTTCCCTGCTTAATGTGTTTGCTCATTACCGGGCCTCGCGCGGGCCGCGCTCTTTTATTACCGCGCGAGTGTTTGCCGGAGCTTGAGAGCCTCGATCAGCCGCTCCGGGCCGCTCCGGGCCGCGCAGTGACGCTCCGCTCCGGGCTCCATTCACAGAAGCCCCCGACCAATCCCCGCCGGCCTCCATTCAGCCAACCAGGAGGGAGTCTGACACCAAAAATAAATAAATAGTGATGAGGGCATCTGGCTGCTGGGTGGAGAAACTATCACCAAACTGATCACAGGCAGCTTCACCAATCAATAATCGATCACAGTTATTTACAGTAAGATCTGACTTTATGCAGCAAAAGTTCCCAGAACCTGAGGTGACTCCTGCTCACGTCTTGTTTTTATCAAACTAAAGTTTAAAAACAACCAAATGTTCGATTTTAAATCATTTATGACTAAAAAAGTTGGATATTTTTCTCAGTTTCTGTTTCAAAATGACTCAAACCTTAGCAAACAGGAGGTCAGATGATGCTGCAGACGCCCTGAAACTCTGACATCCTGCTCGATCTAGTTTCTTGCACTGGAAAAAAAAACAAGAGAAAGTTTTTCAAGTTTCTGGCTGTGATCTTAAACCGAGAAAACACGTAAAATCACACAAAAAGTTTTAATTTACATGTTTGTCCTGTAAAAAAAACTGTAAATGAAGTCCTCGTCTGAACTTTTTAGTTTCATAAACGGTAATTAGGTTTTTTTTACATGTTTGACCACAAAATTAAACTATTTCTACTTTATTTTTTTGCTGATATTTGTCAACAGGAAGTGACACCTCAGGTTCTGTCTCGTTCTTAAAGCACTTTTTTATCCTTAATCACTTTTTTAAACTGTTATTTTTGAGATTTTGCAAGTTTTGTTAAATTACAGTTCAGTAAAAATACTGAAATATGTAAAAAAAACAAAAAAAAAAACCAGATAAACAACTAAATAAAACAAAAACAGGCTGAAACTAAACAGAACTTCCACATTAAAGTGAGTATTTCTACACGTTTGTTTTATCACAATCTGTGGCAGGAAAATGACGGTTTTATTGTGTTTAAATCTACCACAGATCTCATCATCTGACAGATGTTTGCTGTTAGTTTGAATAGTTTTCCACCAGATTTCGTTTGTCTTTCTGGCCTCCTCGCTGCTCCTCTGCTCTCTGAATGAATGTGGAAACAGCTGCAGGTAGATCGATCAGTTTCAGCTTCAACCAGATGAATGAATCCAAACACTTGGTGAGACTGAAGCTCAGAAAGTCAGAGAACGACCAAACAAACAGGTGGTTTGAGGAGGAAACAGCAGAAAAGATAAACAGCGTTTTAACACCTTTGGTCCTTGGAGCTGCTGAACACACTCATAAATGTAGTTTTCTGAATAAGTAGTCGAGGAAACGTTTCTGTCAACAGACGTCTGATTCAGCAACCAAGCAGCTCAGCTTCATTCACCACAGAGACGCCGATGAGTTTTAAAGACGTCATTAAGCGTCACAGAAGTCTTTGTCATGGTTCCTGAACCTCCACAATCTTCTGTTCTGTGTCATCAAGGTGCAAACAGGCACCAAAGCTAACGTACAACACGTTTTCTACATAGATAATGTATTTTTAATGGATTAAATAACATGAATAATCATGAACATCCTTGCTGCCACTGTGTTCAGACACATGCTGAGGAGTTGGGCTGGTTTGGGAAACTCATCCTGTTTATCGTGTTAATGCAGTCGTGACCCTTAACAATCCTAAACCTTGCTATCCGACAGGTTTTTAGGAGAAACCAACAGAACCCATAAAAACAGCCTTAACATAGCGACAGCCTTGGATTCTGACTCCGACATGACATTTAATGTCACCAATCAGGATGACGGCGTATTATCTGACTGAACAATCCCACAGATTGGCTACGTTCACACTGCAGGACTTGATGCTCAATGAGGATTTCTTTGTGACTTCCTTCACGTTTCCAGTTCAATGCGACTTGTATGTGATCTGCTGTGTGAACTTCATACGACCCAAAAGTGTCCCGCATGCGCACAAGAGGACACGACGACGTCACACGCAGCGAGCGTGCTCAGTGTTTACGGAAGTAAACATGGATGGTAACGGTGGAGCGTATCTGCCACTCCCCCGCCGCCACCGATGGAGGAAACAGAAGTGTGAGCGCTAACTAAACTAGCATCAGCAGCCAAGTACTGCCTGTGTGTTCTGGACACTTCCACCCCGTCAGAGCGCTGCCCCGGGGTGGAAGTGTCCCCCGACGGCACTGAATATTCACATATTCATCATTAATTGGGCCTGAATATCCAGAACATGCTGTTGGGACCAGCCCTACTAGTTATTATAACAACTATGAACAATAATGAACAACTAATGATCCTTCCAGCATCAAGCCCTCCTCGTATCTGGACCTCCGTCTTGACAATCCGACATAAAAGATATCCGACATAAAAGAAGGTTCAGTGTCGGATTATTGAGTCACGACTCTACTTTATATCTTTATATATGTTCTTTTGACGCACAGAATTTGAATTTTGATGTGATTTGAACACATGAAGGATGAACAAGTGAACAAATTTAAAATTAAATCAGAACCAGCAGCTCATTTTGATCCAGACTAACTTCTTACTGATGCATAAGACAAACGTTTTTCTAATTTTTCATGTAGTTCTAACTTTAACTGCTCAGAAACACATGTTGGCTATATACTGGCTGTGTTTGATCAGCTGCTCGTTGCGTCCACGTCTCACCACATCCATCCTCCTGAAGCTCAGACGTTCTGCTCTTTAACTGCTCCTCTGCTCCGACGCTAAACTGCGTTTTATCGCCGCAGCGCAACGACGATAAAGTTGAATCTAATTCCATCTAATCTCAGTTTAAAGGAGGGAAACACGACTGGATCCATCTTTGTTGTAGATCCTCCTTCCTGAGCTTTTTTAAAGGAGATCAGTCCAGCGGTTGTAAACAAACAGTCCAGGAGTAAACAAACAAACAAACAAGCTGCTGAAGGTCGAACAGCTGATGAGTTTTGACCATTTCAGTGAATTTATTTTGCGTTCTGTACGTGATGGTACAAAACTGAATGTGCACAAAAGAAATCTGCTTAAAACAAAGACAGAAATGAATGATTTGAAGCAAACGGAGCAAAGCCAGGTTGGACATTTTCTCAGACACGTCTTTAATGGAGACGGGGAGGCAGCAGGCAGAAGACTTTATGAGTGTGTGAAGCAGCTCCAAGGACAGAAGATATTAAAAAGCTCTTCTTGCTAATGAACTGACTGCACTCAGGATGGGTTTTTCTAGAGGTGCAACTCTTCTGCGCAGAGATCCAAACCCTGTTTACGAACCACCTGTTAGCTCAGATGTTGGAGGTTAGAGGCCGACCTCTTGGCCGTCAGATCGTCTTTATTTTCCAGCAAAAACAGCAAAAAAAGTGTCAAATATTTTTGCTTTTCTTTGTCGCATGTGGCTTAAAAATGGAACATCTTCTGTCTTAAAGTGTCGCCTCAGCTTCTGGTGACTTGGACGTGTGCTTTCTTGACTTCCATCCATCATGTAGACGCCTTGATCCTCACTGGGGTCGAGGGCAGCACCTACAGTTTACAATTTAGAATCACCAGTTAACCTCAACGTGTTTCTGGAGGAAGCCGGAGAACCCGGAGAGAACCCACGCTGCACGGGGAGACCCACACAGAAACCATCGAGCCTCCTTTTTTGACGTTTCGTGTGAAAATTAGAACACGACGGCAACACCGAGGCGGCACCAGCAGCGTTGGGTCTGACAGGGTCTCCAGCCTCAACCTCTTTGGCATCTGGAGGGAAAACAGTCATTTAGTCAAGCTGCTAATTTCTTGAACAGTGACCCCTCTCCATCACCTTCCTGATTACAGGTTCTCTGCAGCCCGCCGCTTGTCGCCGTAACGTGGAGCTCTTGTGGAGTTAATGGCCACCTGCCTCAGGAGAAGCCGGCTCAGATGTTTACGTAATCGGTGTGAACGCGCCGAGCCGACTTGTCAGAGGACGATCCCTGACATTTCCGAGCGAGGATGTCTGACAGTCGTGTTTGTTGTGCGGCAGCGTCTCCGGTGGTCCGCAGGTGGTGCTTTGATTCCCGTAGCCCGAGGTGAAACATCACACGGCGGACACGGCCGGCGTGCTGTTCCTCACGATGGGACGCTCCATCATCTGACTCGGTGAAAGCCCACCATTCATCCTGACAGCGGGGCCGGGCTCCCGACGCTCAGACCGCCGCCCGACTCCAGAGCAGCAGTGTTTCCCAGCAGCTTCTCTTTTTTTTAATTTTATCTCCAGTGTGAATGTCAGACCCACAGGAAACCGTGCAGCTCCTCCACAAGGCAGCACTTGCTTGTTGTGATGGCAGGAGTTTAGCATCAGGGCCTCTGTCTGAGCACACAGAGAGTTTTTTACCATCAATAACCAGCTGCTCGTGTTCTGTAGGTGAACTTTTTAGTGTTCTGTGGCACCAACGTAGCCCAGAAACACACTGATGTCCTCTTATTATCCACTGATCCACCCGTTGTTAGTCCAAAGACAATAAGAAGTGATCACCACAGCTTCCCAGAGCTTCATGTGACGCCCTGAAG